TACCGCCGTAGCCGCCACCACGACCCCCGCGGTAGCCCATACCGCCGTAACCGCCACCACGACCCCCACCACCGCCGCGGTAGCCACGGTAGCCGCCGCCGCCGCCACGGCCGTTGTTTGTGTTGCTGGGCCGCTTGGCCATCTCCATCACCTGAGGGATAACAGTCTGGCGGGTCTCATTGAGAAGGGGAATGAGGTCATCAACGATGTTGCGGTTCTTTTCATTGAAGAAGGAAATGGCAACGCCCATTTTGCCAGCACGGCCCGTTCGGCCAATGCGATGCACGTAATCGTCGATGTTACTCGGTAGATCGTATTGCACGACAAGGCCCACGTTGGGAATATCAAGTCCACGGGAAGCCACGTCAGTCGCCACAAGTACTTGGCAGTTACCAGACTTGAACATGCTCAGCGCTTCCTCGCGTTCACGTTGCACACGATCACCATGAATCGACGCACAGGCGATACGGTTGTTGCGGATAAAGCGTTCCAGATAGTCAGCATCACGTTTCTTCTCCACAAAGACAAGGATAAGTTTACCCTCATTTTGGCGCAGCAGTCCAAGGAGGTGTTCACGCTTGTCAACATCATCAACCCAACGCACATCTTGGGTGATATTCTCCGTCGTTGAACCAACACGGCCGACCTGAAGGAAGGAATGGCGGTACAGGAACTCGCGCGCGAGCTGCTGAATCTCAGTGGGGAATGTTGCGGAATACAACAGGGTCTGACGCTGCCCAGTGCGTGGCATGTCACTATCCGGTCCCTGGAGAATCATACGGATCTGCGGCTCAAATCCCATATCGAGCATTCGGTCAGCCTCATCCAGTACCAGGAAACGGATTGAGGAAAAGCGCACATAACCACGTGAAAACATATCCCACAAACGGCCAGGGGTTGCAACCAACAGTCCGCAGCCACGTGTAAGCTCATGGACCTGGTGACGAGGGTCAGCTCCACCATAAACGACAACGCAGCGAATACCAGTGCGGTATGTAAACTTGCGACCTTCTTCTTGAATCTGAATAGAGAGCTCTCGTGTGGGGGCCATCACAAGTGCAGATGGAGTGGCTTGACTCCCCTGACCCTGATGGCTGCGGCTGATGTTGTTTGACAACATATGGTTGATGGCGGGAATAAGGTAGGCGGCAGTCTTACCAGAACCTGTCTGGGCACAAGCCATCAGATCCCGACCCTTCAGAACCACAGGAATACCGTACTTCTGTACAGGTGTCGGCTTCTGATAACGGCAGCGTGCAACGTTTTCACTGAGGGCAGGAACAAGACTCATGGCGGAGAATGATTCTGCCGGCTCGGTGTCGTTTGGCGTGAGTTGTACCTTAATTGCCTCATACTGGTCAAAATTAATACCAGGTGTGTGCTCCTTGAATATCTCATCTTCAGGCTTCTCTTCACGGTGGTACGCATAAGAGGCACTGTCGTCGTGGTACTGTATAGGGCGGGCGAAACCACCATCGTGACCAAACCCACCTCCACGTGTGTATCCACCGCCGCCAAACATGCCACCACCGCGTCCACCACCACGGCCACCACCACCACCGTAGCTACCATCATATCCATCACGAGGGCGCTGGTGGTAGCTGTTGTAGCTGCTGTAACCACCTTGACCGCTTCCGTCGCCAAACGCCGCGGGGCGGCCCCAGGGATTAGCATGAGGATTGAAAGGCTGCGGGGCCCCTTGTTGTACGTAAGCCATGTTATTGTTCATTTTCGACGCGCTTACGAAAGAAATCAAAACTGTATACTTTGGTGTTTGCTCCAGAAGGGAAACAAAAAAA